GATTTGATTTGATTCACTTCCAATCTTCTGCCTGTTCTCCCTGCAGAAGAGGAAGACCACCACCATCTCCGTGGAGGTGAAGAAGTCTCAGCATAAGTACATCATAGGTCCGAAGGGCAACACCCTGCAGGAGATCCTGGAGACAACGGGGGTGTCTGTGGAGATGCCCCCTCTGGACTCCGGCTCAGAGACCATCATCCTCAGGGGGGAGCCTGACAAGCTGGGACCGGCACTCACACAGGTGTACGCAAAGGTGAGGAGGAGAGAGGGGGATGTGGAAATAAAGAAATAAAGTGGAGTGGAGACAGAGACATTTCTTCTTTTTGATTCTGAAATGTCTGAAAAGTTTCTCTTTTATGTATCAGAACAACAGCAGGCAGTATCACATCCATATCCCAGTTATTGAAAGGCAGGTACACTGTGTGTGCATAATAAACCTATAATTGTCCATAAGCAGCAGTGCATGCAACATACAAAAAGGGAAACATGTAAGGCAACCACAATTTAAACAAATATATTGTCCCTTTAGTCTTATTTAATATATTGATTATTTGTCAAGCTGACACAGAACAACCTTAGCAAACATGTTGTTGTGTTTCTGGCCACCTGATGAATGCACATTGGCTCTGTTTTGGTCTCCACCAACTCCTGAGGGAAATATCTGGCTCTTTAGCTGCTAAATGCGCCACAGTGGACACTAGCTATTTGCTAACTGTGTCTGACTGTTCCTAAGCAGGTTAGTGTGTAGTGTGTTTATCAGAGCCTGCTGAGGATTGTTAGGGTAAAGATTTCATTCCCTTCTGATCAGGATGTTAGCCAGCAGTTCTGGGAGGTTTGGAGAACCAAAATGAGCCCAACCGTCCAGAAATTGGATTCAGAGCTCTGCTTTTTTTAAACCGTCTTTTAACCACCAATATACATCAAACATCGAAAACGTTAGTAACATCAGTCTTTCCGTCAGGGCATTAAAATGTACAATAACTCTACAACTTCATATTCAGGCTAGAGTTAATTTTACTAAGACTGAGAGGAAAAGAATACAAAAGGAAAACCCATAACTTCCTCCCCCTTCCTAAAGTCTCACTTGGTACAGTCCACATTGCCAACACCTGGTGGAATAAGGGGCATTCATGTGCGAGCGTTCATGAGAGCACCAGCCTCAACCAGAAAGTGGACCTCGGAGAGAACAGTGATTATTATTCAAAGCAAACAAGAAACCAATAAAACAAACACTTGAATGAAAACTAAATAAAGTCGATGTATTAATCACCTAAAGTGAAAGTTTAGATGATCAACACAACTCACATGACTAAAACCAAACATTCAACTAAATTAATAAAGTTTTATTTGCACGTTTCCCAGCAAAAATAGACAGTGAAAAGAGTCTGTTCATAGTCATATCAACATTATACCAGCAACATGTACACCTTTTACTACAGTTTCAATGTCTATATCTGTAGAATATGTCACAGACATGGAAAGAAATATTAATGTATTTCTTTTAAAACTCAACACCTCCCTATCGATTTCAGATTAAAAGCTTTCTGATGTTTCTGTGGACAGAATCCATTTATGTTAACAAGGCTTTTATTGTGTTGGTATTTATCAAAGGCAAACTCAGTATAGACAGATAAGGCTGAACAGCAGCAGCCACGCAGCTGACACGCTGCCGGTGTAAACACCTCGCACGTGCCAGACGCAGCTGTTCAGCG